TTTTTAGTAAGACCCCAATACATTGTAAGCAATACCGGTTATTTTATTTAACCTATGAAATTAGTAGTACGCAATATCTTTTAAATTAATAAACTTACGTTTTGTAGGGATTATCTTTGGACTCGCAACTTTTAGATTTCGCTAGTTTGTATTGAAAGCATATTCTTTTTATTATACTACACATTACTGCACTAAATTTTACCAAAGGTACAATAATGCCTATAGGTTACATACTATACAAAAAATAATAAAATAAATCCTCCACTGATATATCTCAGAAGCCTTAACCTTCAATTTATAAAAGTTAATGTATTATATGAATTCAAGTCCATTTGTTATATGGAGAATACTATGTATTTACTGCGTCTAAGGTGGTCTATTTTACTATAAATTAATGATTAATGGTCGCTTTCGGCATGTCATTGTTTTGCATCTAGCAATTTAAAATTTTATACCCGGACATTAGGTGGATTAGAAAATGCTAGGAAATGACAAATTTATTATTCTAAATTACCGAGTTTAACTTCGCACGTATTTGAAATTATTTCTTTAAGTTTTATTTAACTTGAATTATTCTAGGTAAAATTAAATTAAAAGTTTCTGTTGCAATAGGTACTATATATATATATGAAACCCATCACTGATATTGCAATCACATGAATAATTGTCGTCATCTTTCACTTAATTCAAATTAATACTAAGGACTGATTTCATAGTTGATACTTGAGTCTAGAAACTGGCTTAAGTATTATTTCAGTCTACGAAATTAAATCATCAAATTAGCATTAATTTAGTCAGTTTTAAGAATTTATTAAGTTAAGACTGTCAAATGGGCCTGAAAAATTTTATGCCGTTTCGTTAAGTTCGCAAAATAATAGAACATTTATATTATAATACGCAAAGTATCTACCATATACACATATTTGGGAAAAATTACTTACAGGTAGTGGCGTTGTGAGCATAACTAGAATAAGTTCCTTACATCACCCACGTTTCAATTTAATATTGTATTCAAATTATAGATTTATGCTATATATAGAATATACTCGTTTCGAAAATCCTTTGAAGCACTTTAGCAAATTGTTTTCTGGGCATTATAAACTCTCTTAATCTATTCTCCTTCACTGCAATCCCGGTTTCAGAAAAAAATTTCCTTCACTTTATGTAACCACTATTAATAATTTTAATATTAAATAATAGGCTTAAATATATCTAGAGATTTCGCTTTCCATTCAATTCGCGTAAAAACCCTGTAAGTATTCAGTTTCTAAATTGATTCAAAACATCTTATATTTTAAAATTAATTTTAAAGGATATACGAACTTTCTGAAAACATTTCTATCTAACCCTTTCAATAAAAATACTAAATTAAATTTTTGAATTTGCATTACTTCAATTCATTTATTTTGAAGTGTTGAGATTACTCAGTAGAGTATACAAAGAAAAGGCGAATTTGATAATCTATTAAAAAGTAAAGTTTCATCATATAATTAATTAAAAATGAATTCATCAATATATTCTTACCGCCACGAAACTTTGTAAAGTAACAGGAGCCAAACCTCCAGCCATTATAACTTTCGGCTTCTGTGTATTCTGCATAAACACTATTATAGCTCTCTTAAACTTTTGATTCTGTTCATACCACTTGCAACTGTAAACTGCAGTTGTCAGATTACTGGTTTCCTTCTGCAATTCATCCATATACCAACAACATGGAAATATTTCAATTAGCAGAGCAAAGAGATGTGCAGGAAAAACGATCAATTCTGCTATACTTCGACTGTACGAAATTAAATAAATTGTACTGGAACAGAGTACGAGAGCTGTTATAAGGAATTGAACACACATAGAAGTTGATATTACTGGATTAATGCAATCAAAGTACCTATTATAAAGAAATTTGTACAATACGAATCACATATAAATTATGACATCAGTTTCCTTACTCCAAAATAAGTTTATGATCTTTAACACACTGTACCAATTCCTTTAAATTGTCCTCCTCGTGTGTATTTTTATTCTTACCAATACGTTCTATACGCGCATTTAATGTTCGTACGTGCCCAATCAATAGGACCATATAGCTCTGTGGGTACATATCAGTGCATGCGTTTATTACAGTAAGAAAATATTGTGCAAAACTTTGATATGCAAACGCTAAATAATAATTCACTTCTGCATCATCGACTACTCGCGGAAACCAGCCATTAAAAACTAATTGATGCAAGGTGAAACCAATCACACAGAGCCCCGTTGATCCCAAAAAAAAGAACACCACATAGAATCCATGAAATAAATGGCATATACGTACGGCTTTCAATATCTCATGTCGATCCTCTTGATTCAAACTTGCATGTTTGTCTAGTTGCTCCAGAAAGGTGTTTACTTTAAGCAGTAAATTTCGAAAGTACAAGACCGTCATTTGTTTGCAAGCAACCGTTGTAATGGTAACACTCATCGATAAATTGCTCAGAAGTGCCTCAAAATTATCGATGTACAACAGATTTAACCATAGAGTAACTGGTAGAAGAAGTGTGCATGTAACGTTCATTATCACAGCATAAAGATAATACAAAAAGCGATAATTTTTCGTTGGATGCATGCCCAGTATACGTAAATTAAGCCACCAATAGTGAAAGGCCAAACCTGAGTCCAATTTTTGTCCATTGTCAGTAACTTCCAAAAGTTTCATTTTTGTTCTTTAATGCTGCTCTAAAGAATTGTTATACGTCTGCTGCGTAAGAGTTATAATAATGAAATACCTAAACTGATGCACTTCCGAGTTTGTCGCACATATAGACGTAGGTAGTAGCAAAAGAAACCCACTACCAAATCACTAATTACATACAACGTGTATGGTTTTAATATTGCGTCAGAGTGGTATTAAAAAATATTATTTCATGTCACCTATTCATGCCACTTAAAATTAAAATTAATTCAATATAGCAACGAAGAGTAATATAATTTAAAATAATTAAGTAATTTTAATCCTTTTTTGTTTGTACCGTACGCATTACAAATTTAAACCTTTAAAATAAGGTTATTCAGTCTACTACGAATTAGGGCCTTCATGAAGTTAAAAAAAACTAAAGTCATTTAGTAATGGTCCAATTTAATTAGACAGAATGATCTTTACTATATTTTGCATCAAGAGTTCAAAACTTATTGGCATTAAGAATTTCACTTTTCTGAACATTTTCACTTTATTCAGATGCTACCACTGAATTCAGATTAGATTAGGTTGATCTGGCTTGCTGTGAGCCACACATAGACGTTTATTGGTCCCTAGCAGCACGAAATAAAGCTAAATCTCTGTATAAATTTCATTGTAGATGTTTTTGCAAATCTAATAAGTTCTTGAAACTGTTTTTCTAAAACAGAACCACCAACCATTTTTCTAAGATTCTTTATCAAGTGTTTTTTATATCAGACCTTGGTGCGATCTGACTCTGTGTACGGTGTATCATGGGTCTAGTAGACAAGTACCGTATTACCAGGGCACTCATAAAAAGCTTTAATTATATGTGAAATATATTACTTTTAATATTGACGATATTTGAAGTTGGGGTATAATTGTACCGAATCGTATATATATTAAAAAAAAATCTAATCGAATAAAATATGAAAAGTTTATTAATGGAAAAAATACTCTTTGTTAAACATGTAGAATGCATTTTAAATTAAAACATCTAATATCTCAAATTGACTAACCACAGATATTTCAAGCTCTTGTTTTATATATCTCGGAATGAAATGATTTCTATTTGAAATGGTCACAGTTACCTAAGAACCCAAAGTTACAAAATGATTTCGCTTGTTAAGAAGAACCCTAATGACAAAATGTTTTCATGGCTATAAAGACATTTTGGAAACTTATCAAAAACTTCTATATAACAATTGCAAATCGCAATTAACAAATAACATTATAATAATATTGCACAGCCAAGCTGCAATCCTGGCTTTGAATCATCTATTGAGTGAAACAACGTAAAATGAGCGTAACCTCTTTAAGCGAGCTGCACAACGTTTCTCTGATCTGATTTCCAGATTTCCAGAGCATAGGAACATAGGAAGCAATATAGCCAATGAAACTCTTACAAAAGTTGGCTCGTAACACCTAACATAGTTAAACGAGCTAGTGAGTCTAAATATCTTCAAATAGACGTTTTTGAAAACTAGTAAGACACTATTATAATTTGAATCAAACACTCTTGCTGATAAAAGATATTAAAGGGAACTTTCTAGTCCGCTAGAAACAATCATTTAGTCTATTGGAAAACATGCGAAAAAGAGATTTCTATTAAGTATTTGCTATTTCCATTTTCTGTGTATATGTTCTACTTTTTTAGTTAAGCATTTAATCTGGAGGAATTTGTGGGGGTTATTATCGTCAAGCTTCAAAAATTTGTGAACCATTCGAATTTGACCTAACATTGTCGTTTAAACACGTAACCAGATAATCAGTTTATACCGTGGATATGATAAATAAACAGCATAAAAACACTTTTAAACTAATGAAAAGTCACTACCCAATTTAATTTTTTAATTTTTTTGTTTTTAACTAAAAGTTTGCTCATAATGATACTGTACTTTCTGCATATTCTGTGGATAGGAACAATAGAATGCATGTTGTGACGCATACCCCAATCGTATTTCCATTTATTTCGTCGTGATGAAAAATATATCATGGTATTCTAGGTACACCTGCTTTAAATACTATACTATATAGAATACTTTTTGAATTAGTTCCCTCTGTATTTCAATATTGGCTCACATAATATTTCATCCCTCTTTCTCCTCACTCCCCTCCTCACTCGCTTTCTTACTTTCACAGCCTGTCTATCTTTTTCTTGTTGTTCCATCCCTTTCTCTTTCTCGCGCCCTCTCGCCATATTTTCCTTTCCCAATTGCTTCGGCATCTCTCTCTCTCTCTCTCTCGAACTCTCTCTCTCTCTCTCGCACTCTCTCTCTCTCTCTTCCATTCTCTCTTTTATATTTTGCGCTTTCTTCCTCAGTTTTCAGAATGCAAAAGTAATGATTCCAATACAAGTGTGTCCAGCTAACGTTTTACGAAGGTATAACATAATTGAAGTGATCTAATCCTAACATTATCGAGTTATAACATACATAAGTATTTAGTAACACCTATTTTAGAATGAATTCTCAACAATTTTATTATATTTTTCTCAGTGTATACATATTATAACAACATTACAAGTGTTTGTAAATATATTTTATTGAATTCGTTTTCAATAAACTTAAAGTCGTTCCTAGTAATTAAAAATGTGTGATTATAAGTTAGTTTCCGGTGATAATTACATATCGTGAAAAAGGTATTGTAATAATTATTTTGGACTCATCATTGTGTACTGGTGGAGGAAATATTAATTTTGTATAAGAATTTTAGGTTCAAAGAATTTTTAAATGTTTGCTTTGCTTAAAATAGTGAACATAGAAAACGAAAATCTTATAACCTGTAAAATAAAAGTTAATTAATATAATTAATATCAGATTCCTTAATTATTTTTACCGCCAAAAATGTCTGCAAAGTTATTGGTGCCAAATTACCAGCCATAATCACATTTGACTTCTGTGAACGTTGCATGAAAATAATTAGAGTTTTGCGAAACTTCAGATTTTGTGTGTACCAATTGCAGCTGTACATGGCTGTCGTCAAATAATCGCTTTCCTGGACCAGCAGATTCACAAACCAGCAACACGGAAAGGTTTCAACTAATACTGCAATCAGATAGGTGCCTGTGAAAAGTATCTGTGCAGCATCACGTGCGAACACTGTTAAGCTAATGCCGGTTAGACACAGTACAAAGCCTGTAACTATGAATTGTTGCAAAAGTGTCCGGGATATTACAGGTCGAATGCAATCCAAATAACTGAAAATATACAAGAGAGGAAGGAAATCTGAATTTCGGATAAGTACTAAATAAAAAAAATTGAAAATTTAAATGAGAATTTAAAAATAATGGAATTATCATGAATTGTGATCAAATGCAAATACAAAAAAAATATATTGAATCCCAATCTATAAAACTAAGTTAGAAAATGATAACTACTTTTGCGAATTTAAATTTTTGATCTGTAAATACAAACAATTTTAATTAACAATATCATATATGTTAAGTCAACATAATTATATAAAATAAACAGAAACGACTGAAATGCTAAATTTTACTTTTTTATTTAATAGATTCATTAAAAGGTTAATGGTCGGTTAAAACGATTAGGGCTAGCCTAATAGAATACCTGAATCGCGATATATCATATTCCCCAAATATTTAGAAATAAATACTTACTTAACAAATGTTTGCCAAATTTAACCCTTACTTAAAACTCTAGCCGTATCACCAGCCGAATCTGCATATAACGCAATCTATAGTTCAATATAGCGCTTTCACACAGCTCGTCTTCAAAACTATACTCTAGATTGTATTTTGTATAAATAATTTGAAGATAAATTTATATATATTTCAAATAAAATATTCTCCCAAAAGAATTGACATAATAAATTTCTTTATGTAGCAAAATTCGATAGACAAAGTATTCAAAATTTATATATCATAAAAAAAAATTATGAGCGACATCTGTCTGCGAGGTGGATAACACTCCTATACCTCCCAAAGTAAGGGGTAATTGTAGCCATATGTATAATGTAAATTATATTAAATACTTACAACCATTTTCTATTATTCAAAAATCTGTAATCATAGTTTATGAATTGTGGATTAATGGATTTGCTAACAGCTGGAACCCTTACCCCTTTCTCTAGGTGCGCTTCATTTATTCTACACTAAAACAAACTGGTAATTTACACGGCTTTTGTTAAAAAACTACTTTATTTTCTTTGAGACGATGGCATTCCGAATTTCAACAAGATGGCCCAATTTGCTTGAATTCTTCAAAGTTCAGCTAAAGAATTGTTGAGACGACTATGTATTTACCTGAATAGCTTATTCACCTTAATATAATTGGTGATGGCTTCAAAAGAAGTATCTCTATGTATATCAGGGTTTCCGACATATCAGGGAATTTTTAATATTTTAGATATGGTGATATTTCGAGTTCTTAAAGTATATATTTAGCAATCTAATTAAAAGCAATGCAAGCTAGAAGACTTATTTATGTATGAGCATTATACATAAGTTTAAGTATTATCTTTAAAGTATGAGTTGGAATGCAAACTACAATCTTATTCATTTATGCTTATTCAATTAATGTTTAAAACGGAATTTATTATATCATAGATGTTCTCCTTCAAAAATGGATTAACTTTTTCACTTCTCTAATTATGTCCTTTACACAAAAAAGTTTGAAAAGAGAATATCAAGTTTAACAAGATTTGTCAAGGAGATATTGTAGATCCCATAAATATTTTTAATGACCTCAGCGTCTGGCTCTTTTATCCCAGTCCACTCTCTCAGTTTTTGAGCTATTCAAATAAAATTTTGCACATATACTTTTCGAGAGCAAACTCTGATCATTTGTAGGATTGACTGAATGGGATTACTATATATCCTATAGTTGCCATATAAGCCAAACAATCGGATATAAGTTATCTCTGTTTGTAACAAAGATATATTTAAATGAAATTTGATACAGAATAATAATAATATTGAATAAAACCGGCTATGGCTGGCAAAAGATGAAGAGCAAAAAATTCACAAAGCCAAAATTGACGATTAAAGAAGTGAATATATCCTTTATTATAAACTAAGTTCTATTGCCTGGCAAAACAATTGAGTCCATTTACACTGTCATCATTAATTGTAATTAAAAGAAAAAATTGTAAAAAGTCCTAAAGTGATTAAGAAAAAAATTGTCGTGTTTCATTATGACAAAATTGATTAGGCACATATCTGAAGATACTTTAATTCAAAAATTCTAATATATAACATACCCTAACTAGTAATTGTTCCTATATTTACAACAGTTTATTATTCGAGAAGTCAGTTATAGAATTTATGTCATTTTGCAAAACTGATAAAACACTGATGCCGGGATGTGACTATCTCAATAACTGGACAGCATTTTAATCCTAAAATAATTTTTGAAAAAGTAATTCTCTTTTACAAAAAAATGCTCTATACTATTTACCCAATCTATTAGTTTTGAAATAATATATTGCATATCGCGTACACATACGCGTTTTATTTGTTTTGCGAGTTAACACTGTAGTTTACAAAATAATATTACAGTTAGATAAAATCCTGAATGAATGAGTAGAAAACCGCATATGAGTGTACTTAATGAGAATCTAGTAACGTTCTGTTTATGAAACATCGTCACGAATTTCTATTCCCGAAAGTTTGCCCCGCAGTTAAACAATAGTTTGTTTTAATTTTACATTTGACTAAAAGGAACAGAATCTTCTTAACTTCACCGTTAAATTTTTATGTGGTACCTGATTTAAATGTTGATAATATGCTAAATAGCTTTCCAACAAACTTGTCCATTCTCCACCCCAAACATTGCTTGCTTCGCCTCATCGCGTTGGCGTTGGCATGTACCAAACTTTTCCCAACAATAATCCAAAATTTTTAGAGTTTAGAGTTTCTAGATGAAACGCGACAAAAGTGAGTTTCTATATTTTTAATACCAGTTAAATGCTTTTGTAGTGAGATTTGCAATAAATTTCAAAACTATTTTAGGTTTAGGAGTTTTGTATGTGAAGTATTTAAATTTGCTAATAAACTTACCGAACTATATCAAGGATATCTAAGATGAAGGGTATGACGCTAATATTACTTCGTAATGCTATTTTAGGGATTAAAATCGTTAAACTTTGTACTCAAATATATGTATATTGTCTTTAACACAGTAATATTTTAAGAAACTTTTTGTTTATGTTTTATTTTAGAAAAATGAGTTTTGGGAGTCTATCTAAATATTTTGAAAATGTTATAAATTTTCTTATCCGATTAATTTTTATATGTGAGAAGTTTATTGTATTTTTCTAACAGGATATATGTGCCTCTGATAGCATTTGCGATTCCAAAAATTTAAGTAGGCGCTGATTTGAAAAATCAGCTGAATAATTAAAAAAAAATATAAAATCACAATTGTATATTACCACAAAAATAAAATTATATTTAATAAGAAAATCATATTTCTAACAATATTACAAAGATCAAACCCTTACCTTAATATGTCTTTATGATCTTGAATGCATGCCAATAATTCTTCCAAATTATCATCACCACTGGCCTTGGGGTTGACGCCGATTCTCTTTATTCTTTCAGCCAATGCACGTACATGTCCAATTATTAAAGCCACATAACATTGTGGATACATGTCATTGTTCGTATTTTGGAATACATAATGTGTGATGGCCACGAATTGAAATATAAATGCCGCGCGGTAGTTCTTCTCCTCATCTTCATAAAAGTGTGGATACCAGCCATTGAATAGGAGTTGATGATTTCTTATACCAAGAATGGCAAATCCATAAGCGGTCAAAGTGAATAAAATATTATAAACCACAAAAAAGATGTGGCACGTTCGTATTCCATGGAGTATATGGTAACGATCTCTTAGATGACCATTGGAGCGTTTATCAAGTCGTTCCAAATAAATATTTGTTCGTAGTAAATGATCTTGATAGAGATATAAAATAGAATGCTTAATCGTTGCAGTTACCACTGTTACTGTTAGTGAAAGATTTGTCACTAACAATTCCAGACCCTTAATAAAGAAGACATTTGTTACCATTGATATCGGTAACAATACTACAAACACATTTGATATAACTGCGTAAATGTTGTAAGCAGTACGAAACCTTTTAGGTGGGTACAAACCACTTATCCGCCAACTAATCCATAAGTAGTGCAAAGCGTAGCTGGAATTTAACTTTTGATTTCTTTCTATTGGGCTACGAAGCAACATTTTTTAATGTTGGTTTATGCACAATTGAACTAGGAAAACATGTGTTGTACTATATATAGTTTCATTTCTATTCTAAAACTAAATAAAGTTTTTCAAGTAATTTGTGAATGTTTGAATAGTTTTCAAAACTTCATAAACTTTTTAATTGCTTAGAAAAAAGTTGCCGGTATGAATAAATTTTTTCTTAGTCACTGCCGTAGGTGTTAATTTAAGTTTCAAAACTAAATAATTATTATGAACTTTAATAAAAATGCTCTAGTAAGTTAAGTTAAAGAGGATGTACTAAACCTCTTATAGAGGAGGCTAACATACTCTTATAAATTTAAATTAACTTACTAACAACTTGGTTCTTTATTTTCAATTAGAAAACTTATGCTTAAATATATATATATATATATATTGTCATCATTTTCCCTAACATCTACTAGGTCCATATTAAAACATTCTTTTATAGACTTCTACGATCCAACTTGCCTAACGAGCATCCCAAATAAAACTCCTTATCAAACATAATTCTTTATTTAACATTATAAAAAGGCTTCAATAATTTCAATTTTATTTCTAGATGTGCAGTAATTTCTGACATTAATACGCTACCTATTTAGAAATACAGGTTATATCACCACTAAACTCCACCAAGCAAGCCAATTGTGCTCTCATAATCTCATTAATCTATTCACTATTAAAATAGTTCCAGAATTTTGAGGTTCCAATACATATAGTCATTTCATTTATGGTATTTTGTTAGACTATCATTTTATGAAATATTTAACTCTAACGTCTAATCCTTGCCGAGAAATTTCATGTTTAGATGCGCATAAGTTATGATTATTGTAGTGGTAAATTATTCAATTATCATTGGCTTCAAATTCGGGTATTACTATATTATAGATGAATCAAGTATCTATACAAAAAATATTTGTGTTTAACAGCTTGCTCACATTTTTTTTTTTTTTTGAGGAGAGGAGGTTAGAAATGTCAAATGCATCGTCACTATACCGTCACAATAGTGTTATGCGGAGTTTGCTCGGACTAAATACAATTCCCCATTTGTGCCATACCATTTCTGCCCCGTAACTTTATCGGGAAAACTTAAAGGTAGGATCCCTTTGTTGGTTATTCATTAACAATTTTCTTCGTTACCGTGCGTCCAGGTTTCGTCCAGGTCTTCTTCGATATAATAAAGTTTCGAGATCATATTTTTTCCGTTTAAGTATGATCATTACGAATCAGTCTATCGCGGTCCAGCTTCCGTCAGTTGGCATCATCGTCGTTCTGATATTTTCGTTGTTTATTTCACCAACTATTGTTTAAAGTGGTGATCTTACCAATTATATTAATTAATAATACTATATCTCCGAAAATATAATACTAGCCTATTATATCACAACTTATTTTCTCTGCTGCTGAAGGACACACGTTCGACACGACAGCAATTTTTTTTAACTCAGACCAGTAATTCCCAAACTTTTTTTGACCAAGGACCACTGTTGACATTTTTTGTTTTTAATGGGTATAATAAACTGAATGATTTTTTAATATGCTTTATGCATCTCTCGTATAATGTATAAAGAATTGTATAGGTACATTATAGTCTATAAAATAGGCATATAATTACGTAGTATTTTTTTGACCTTACTTTCTAATAAGTGAGGTCTCAGCGAACAAATTACAAGCTATTTATCCATACCAGTTCAATTTGATTCACAGACAATTTTCAACCATCTCGCAGACCACCCGTTGGAAATGACTGCTTTAGGATCTAACTACCATATATGTCTGTTCGATATGGCTAATATTGAAATTAAGGTTATTCTTGATTTTATTGATTACCTGTTATATATACAACATATAACATACAACATATTGGGTCTTAAATTCTTATACTATAAGTTAATTTTGTGAACAATTTTGCTCACACAATGTGAAATATGTCTGACTATTCCAACATAATGAAAATTAAATAATATTATATTAAAGGTACTGAGTCGTTTCCAATGCATAATAAGATATCAAACAATTTAAAATTAAAAAATAATGTAAGCAAAAGCCGGCGAGCAAAGCTTCTCAAAGGTCAAAATAAAAAACTGATTTCCTCAACTGAAATAGGGTTATCTTTCCCTCAGTCAAAAAGCCGGGTTTACTAAGTCTTACTGCTGAAACTGTAGTATCACAAAGAACTCTCATGATGGGTTTAACTGAGCACCATATTATTAAGCGGGCTGTCAAAGGAATCTCCCATTTTACTTACACAAATATCTATTATTTATATTTCTATCTACAAATAGTTGAGAATTATAGAAATAAGAGTAAATTTTCTTGTGTCTTGAAAATGTCTCATATAAACAAACGCTTCCGTTTAAAATTTCTAATAGAATGTCATTTTTTAATATTAACTCAAAAAATTTTATAGATATTTGTTAATAACTTTTATTGACGTCGTTTTCGTTACGCCCAAAATTGTATCTAATAATTAAAAATATGAAAGTTTAACGCAACTGTAGGTGATAATTAGTGGTTGTGGTGTAATAATTATTAATTCTTATAGAAATATCTCGTGCCTGTAAAATTTAAAATACGTGCTATACGAAGTTGGATTAAGTTGAAATAAAATTTCATTCGTTCATGTTGTTTAAAAGAGTGAACATAGAAAACGAGAATCTAATAATCTGAAATAATAAAAATTGTCAATAAAATAATTAAATAATTTCGGATTATATTTTACCGCTAAAAATGTCTGCAAAGTTATTGGTGCCAAGTTGCCAGCCAAAATGACATTTGTCTTCTGTGAACGTTGCATGAAAATAATTAGAGTTTTGCGAAATTTTAGATTTTGTGTGTACCAATTGCAGCTGTACATGGCCGTCGTCAAATAATCGCTTTCATGCATGAGCACATTAACAAACCAACAGCACGGAAATATCTCAACTAAAATTGCAATTTGATAGATGACCGTGAAAAGTATCTGAGCAGCATCACTCGCGAATGTTGTTAGACTGATTCCAGTGAGACAGAGTACAAATCCTGTTATGATGAACTGCTGCGAAATAGTGCGCGATATTACAGGTCGAATACAATCGAAATACCTGAAAATATGTAATGAAAGAAATTTTAGAATGCAATGAAAACCGAATAATATTTATTATGTTGGGAAATGACAAAATACGCAACGATATAAAGAATACTGCAAAACTCCAAAACTTAATAAAAAAAAGTTGAAGATCATCCCATTGTAGTTACAAGAAAAAAAAACATATATTTATCTAATAGATCATTTAAATATTGAAGAACCCTTTTTTATTTTAATTATGATAAATCAACAATCAATAGAACCAAAGTAATACAATGAAGATATATGAACTAAGAAATTTATTCGAAGTACCATAGTTCTTGATAACTTTGCAAGATCTACAACTTTAAACGCAGTAGAATTCTCCGAATATTTGAGACTTCGTTTGCTATCTGATTAATCTAATAATCGAATAACTTCCCGAATAATAATGAACAGCACTATTACATACACTTACGGGCATTTTCTACATCCTCTCGATAATTAAAGTTATATTTGTATATTATGCATTTAATTTAACTTATCGAGTCAAAACTGTACAAATAGTTAACATAACTACTCGATGGTGCAGTAACCACGTACCTATATAAACCATTTTTAATGCCTTTCCAATGCTTTTTTGTTTTTGTAATCTTCTCATAAAATTTTAATCCTAAAAATTTCCTTCACAGCTAAAGGTAGATTGTTTTAGTTTTACATTTGACTAAAACGTACCAAAAACTGAATTTCACGTTGAAGTAAGTTAAACTCTGTTTATTTTTCCTTTTATTTTCGGTACCTGATTTAAATAAAGATAACATGCTAAATAGCTTCCCAACAAAGTTGTACATCCTCCATTCCAAACTTTACTTTCCTCATCGTATTGTCATGTGCCGCACCTTTCATTGGAACATTCTGAAATTTTTGGAGTTTGGAGTATAACAGCGGAACGCGGCAGAAGTGAGTTAAGTAGTTTAATTCTTGCTAAATACTTTTGTACAGAGAGTTGCAATAAAATTTGAAACTATTTTAAATAAGCCAATTCAGTATGTGATGTACTTAATTTTCATTATTATGACTTTTTTAAAAAACCTTACATTACATTTACATATTTTACTTGAAAACTTATGGTACCAAAAAATTGTTTGAACAAACTGTACCTGTACTAAACTGAGCTTTTTTTCTTTAAGGACTATTATAAAAATAATGAATAAATAAAATTGACTTACATATAATACTAATGTCTTACAAACACAATAAATTAATTAATTGGAGCGATCCCTAGTTGGAAAAGTCGTCTTCGAACACATTGTCTTCAAGACAGTCTTTTATACTGCGTCCGCTTGATTAAGCAATTCTCCGTAACAATTACTTGAAACATAAATATAAAGAGTCTTTATTATATTAACTCTCTTCAATTGTAGTCTATTATATTACTCTTTTTATTTGTAGTGTTCACAGCAACCTAAGCTGCCATGTCTTTCAGTGCCAATTTTAATGAAGAGAATAAGCATTTAGTGAGGTAAAATTTTCTATTCCCTTCATATTTTCCAATTTATTTTAATTCTAATATATTTTAATAAATAAATTTATAGTTATAAAATAAATAATAAAAAATATTTACGTTCAAATTTCTTCTTACTTAAATTGAAACAAGATTTACAATCTAAAGAGCATAAAAAAGAAGAAATATGCAAAATAATTAATTGAGTTGTAACGCTAAGAGCACATTATTTTCAATCAAATGCGTCCGATATGTAAGACATGGATGGATC